AATATAAGAAACCAGTGGTATAGCTGCAACATTCAAAATTGAAAAAAAAAAAATAATGGTTTTACATGAAACTTTCTATTAATTTAATTCTGTTTCACCCAATTTCCTTTTTTGATGTTTTTGAAATTTCTTTACCATGCAATTTTCACTTCTCTTACCTTTCAAAAAAATAAATACACCTTTCACCCAAATCTGATTCCACTTTGCAGGCCTTCTTTCCTTATGGATGACATGATCAAAAAAAAAGAAATCAAAAAAATAAAATCAAAATATGTTCGAAAAAAAAGGGGTAACAAAACAACTGAAGCCTTATTTCTATATTTTTCCTCTACTCTACTTTCCCTTCTCATCCTCCAAATTTTGGAACTTCTTTACAAGCAATTTTCACTTATATTACCTTTCAAAAACTAAAAATATACCTTCAAAAAAAATTTCCACTTCTCAAGCCTTATTTCCTTATGGATGAATCATACAAAAAGGAAATAATTTTTTTTTTACTTGATTTACAAGACTTTGGTTTCCGTTTCTATTTAGAATTGCAAGTTCCGGTGTTGGGCTTGGACCTCCTTCATTAAATGAAGTGGGCCTAGGGAATCGATGGTCTTTCTCCTGTCCATTTTCTTTGGGCCCTTCTACGTGTCGCCTTATTGCTTTGGACCTCCTTGGTTAAGTTTTTCCCCGATCGGGTTCTTAAAATTTTGGATTTTTGTTTTCAAAATTTTACCAATCATTTGAGACTTTAATGTGGGTTTAAGAGCCCGTTTTGAGGGTGGAGGAACCCAAACAGGCCCTAAAAAGAGTAAGTGTTTTTTATTTTTTTTTTATTGTTTTTTTTTTTTTTTTTCCTGCTTCTCCATTTGTACGTGTTTGAAATTAGGACGTTAATGGTAGGGGTGCAACTCGGCTTGGGTAACCTGAACCCAGCCCGAGCCCAGCCCAATTTTCAACAGACTTGGATAATTATTTTTACAATTAGGGTTGGGTTTCAGTTGAAAATTTTCATCCGAATTTAATTAGGGTTGGGTTTGGATTGAAGAGCTAGCAACCCGAGCCAACCCGAACCAGAATTCTAAAATTATTTTCATATATATTTTTACTTTTAAATACATTATATATAATATTTAAACTATGATTACTTTTTTTCTTTTCAACTTGTTTTGTTAAATCATAATTTATTGTATGTTAACATTTAGGTGAATTAATTTTCTAAAAATTTGTTTGTAATTTATTAAAAATTTACAAAAAGTTTTTAAACTTTTTCTTGTTTAAGAATAATTTAATATAAAATTAATCCAAGATCATATTAAATTTCGGTTTAAAAATTAGCCATATGAGTAACCCAAATTAAACCCGAAGATTTTACTCGGAATCTAAACTTGAGTTGCAAGCCCGAATTTAAAAGTAGAAGGATGGGTTGGACTTGGGTTGACTAGTTAAGGTTGAAAATAGGGTTAGGGTTAGGCTTGGGTTTAGCATTTCATATGATGGGTTAAGCTCAAGTTATACTAAAACCCGCTCAACCTGCCCGAGTTGCAGCCCTAGTCAATGACAAGAAAGGGATAGTTAGGGCTATTATAAGAACCTTATTTTTAGTTGTTTTCAATATTTCTGAGCAGCTGAAAACGTCATACAAGCACAAGCAAAGGCATGGCTTGATTTTCACCTAAAACCAAAAAATGCATGGCTTGATCAAATTCCTAACCCCTGGACTTCATTTTCATGAGCTTGTTTAATACTAATATGCAATATATTTTACCGACACGAGAGTTCATTTAAGAGAAATGAGACGTCATCCCTTACTCATATAAAATCAGTTGGATTTGTCAGATCTCACTTTGTCCTCGTCACATATTCTGTTTGTCCTCATCAACCCTTCCCTTTTTTTTTTTTCTTTTTTTTTTTTTTATGTATTAATTATACACACATATATGTAATCCAAGGTGTGTGACTATGGATACATACAATTTAATTTCTAAATGAATTGTTTTACTAAGTAAAAAAATAAAAGAGAAAATAAAATAATGTTAAAATTACGGAAGTACCCAAGGACTTGCACTTCAAAAGTAAAAGGAAAAAAATTATGAAAAATGGTAAAAGAAAAAGAATTCACCAGTTTTATTTAGTGCATGCTATTGTGCGGGTTGACCTATGTGGTGATTGGTGGACTAGCCTTAATTAGCTCACAAGCGTCTGTCTTTAAGGGTGTTTTAGAAATTTTATTTTATGATCGATTATTCAAAAATATTGCATATTTATCAACAATATTCAACGTACAACAAATAATTTTATAAAAAGTCATTTGGAATTGTTTGTTATTTACAATTTCAAATTAGTTCAATATGCATTAATTATAAATAGGAATTTAGTTGATTGGGACACTTGAAATAGTTCTAAATTTGTATGACATTTTTCATAACATGATAATAATAATAATAATAATAATAATAATAATAATAATAATAACAAAAAAAAAAAAACTACCATAACATGTGATGATATTACTCTTTAATATTTTAATCAATAATAATTGAAATTAAATATAATATAGTAATAGGAAAAGAAATTCATTTATTACAGAAGTAGGTAATTCTTTTTATTTATTTATCATAATCCCTTTTCAATTACATTAAAATAGAGCTTGAATTTAGAAACGGAGGGAATGTAGCTTAAACGTGTTATTTTCCAATTTTCCAAGTCTGGTTAGGATTCATGATTATGGGTTTATATTCTTTCTGCAAACAACCCCTAAAAAAAAGGTTATAAGAAGCTCTCATCTCACACCAGACCCAACACTCAAACGCAAAGTTAGGGTTACGAAATTGGGGATCTGTAAGGAGTCCAAATACCGAAGGAGACCAGCTTTCTTGTTGAAGCAGCGGCAGATTTCACCGGTAATCTATCTTCTTCTTCTTCTTCTTCTTCTTCTTATCAGTTCCCTGGCGCTTCTGTATTCTCTCTCCTCCTCTTATCTCTCTCTCTATATTCTTTCTGTTTTTTGTTTGTGGATCGGCAACTTTTTTGAGGGAAAAAGAGATCTAAACAAGGTTATGGAAGAAAAACAGATCAGTTTCTTCTCTAGAGATCTCTGTCTCACTTTTTTTTTTTTCAATTGGGGCGGATAGATTAGGTTTTCCATTCCTTTGCTATATATGCATTATCCAAACACTTTAATAAAGTTTGGAAATTTTCTAGCTTGGAAATTTCCTGGCAAAAGGGTGATTTAATTTTTATTTTTATTTTTTGTAAATCAAATCTTTTTGGTTCGTCAGTCTCTTATTAATTGTTTCCATCTAATCCATATTGTATCATTATTAATTGTGAAATTTGATAGGATGTGATATTTATTTATTTTGTTTTAAAAGGAACAAAAAAGGATGCAGTTGGTAGATAGAAAGCTAGGTAACGGTGGTGGTAGGATGCAGCGTGGTCTATGTGGTTCGTGCAAGCTAATTCCTGGACGACAGGAATGCATGGAGGGTTGTGAATTTGCTTCGAGTTTAACAGCAGATGAATGTGGTATTCTGGCATATGCAAGAAATCGTAAGAAATTCATGGATCGGGCGTGTGCTTTCCTAGATAGAAAGCTAGGTAACGGCGGTGGCAGCAGGCAGCAGGCAGCGTGGTCCATGTGCTTCGTGCAAGCTCCAGGAATGCCTGGAGGGTTGTGTATTTGCTTCGATTATTCCAGGAGACCAATCCGGAAACTTCATGAAATATTACTATAATACTCTGACATATACAAGAAACCTTGAGAAATTAAACGAAGAAGCCATTCCAGCGTTTTTTTGGAGATACAAAACTAAATCCGAATCCGGATTTTAACACTGCGGACCTGATCATTAGCAATCTATAAACATCAGGTCAAGTCACAAGAGGTTCAGATACTAGATCTTAAGAAGGAACTTAATGGAGTGAAGCAGTTGGTTTTCGGGTTCAACCAGATGGCTGCTGCTGCTGCTGCTGAACAACAAGAGCACAAGAAAGTGAAGCGAGAACAAGCACAAGAACAACCACAAGAGCACAAGAAAGTGAAGCGAGAAGGATAGGGTTGGTGATGTTGGTTATGAGGCTCTTTCTGTAAATATAACTTAATAAATCATCATGGTGATACATACCTTTGTACTCTACTCATTTGGTGTTTCCATTCTGATTGAAATGTGAAAGATCATCATCTAAATTCTGCACATCTCAATAGTCAAAGGGTAGGTAGATAGTGGTTTGTAGGAATTTTGCAGTGGAGGTTCTTCCAGTCATGTAATTTAGATTAAATTTGAAAGAGATAATACTAGATTTATTAAATTCTTTAGATCATCAAAATGAGATACATTGCAAAAATTTCAAACTCTTCTAACAATTGTGAGATAGCAAAGCTAAAACAAGTTTATACTATACATACAACACAATGGCTTTTACACATGGACAAGAAAATTGGAGCTACAAACTTTTTTTTCTACTTACTAATCATAATTCATAGAGCATTAAACTAATCATATGATTGAGAGGATGTATTTAATTGTTATGCACTTTATACCATACAAAATAGTGTGCAATTGAGTGGTTCTTAAGCCATCTGCACCAGCCTCTCCGAATTTCGACTCTTCAAAAACACCACATCAGCTTTTTCAAGAGCCACATCAGAAACATGCACTCCATCAGGCTCTCCGAAATTTCGCTCTCCAAAAAAAATAATAATAATAAATTAAAATTAATTTTTTTTAAAAAATTTTCCTAAACGGCTATATTTTTAAAATTTGAATTTTAAATGCCTATATTTTTCATCTTATATAATGAAACTAATTTGCTCATTTGAAAATTATCACTATATTCATCTCTCTCCATTGTAACAAAATATCATCATCCATCTTTTTTAATTTCGAAATTCAAATGGCTTCGTCATCACAAGTTTTTCCTTTGGCAGACTCTAATTCGTCATCACAAGCTTTTACTTTGTCCAAAAAAAAGATGCGACTGGTCGTCTGGGGTTGTCTTCTATACATAAGATGACAACTGCTTTTCGTATACTCGCATATGGTTATGCAGTCGATCACTATGATGAGTATATTAAAATCGGCAAGAGCACTACCATTAAATGCTTGAAGGCATTTTGTAATGCTATTGTTGCTGTGTATGCAGAGGAGTATATGCGTCCACCCAACGAAGCTGACATAGCACGGCTGCTTGAAGAAGGGGAGCAGAGAGGTTTTCCAGGTATGCTTGGTTCTATCGACTGTATGCACTGGAAGTGGAAGAATTGCCGAGTGGAGTGGCAAGGCACACATAGGGGATTATCTGGTAAGAATACTCTCATATTGGAAGCAGTTGCCTCACAAGATTTGTGGATCTGGCATGCATTCTTCAGAATGCTGGGTTTACACAATGATATAAATGTGTTGGATCATTCCTCGGTATTTAACGGCATCATCAATGGCCAATTACCTCCGGTTAATTATGTAGTGAATGAGCATCACTATAGAATAGGGTATTACCTGTCTGATGGTATATACCCTAAGTGGGCAACTTTGATGCAGACCATCCCGCACCCAACCACTACAAAAGAAAAATTATTTGCTCAGCGACAAGAGGCAGCAAGAAAAGATGTGGGATGGGCTTTTGGGGTATTGCAGATCAAGTAGGTAATAACGCAAGGATCAGTGCGTTACTGGGAGAAAGATGACTTGCGCCTCATAATGAAAACGTGCATCATCCTTCACAATATGATCATTGAAGATAAGCATCATGCAAATGTTTGAAGATGGACTCCGCCACCGGAGAATGCAATCCCGATTCCCACTTTAAGTCGATGCCCATCAGTTTTAGCGGCACACATATCCTCTCGCCAACTTCAGATTCGCAACAGAGAGACAAATACGCGGTTAAGGAATGATTTGGTGGAAAATTTGTGGAACCGCTATGCTGATGAAGATGTTTAATTTATGTTGCATTTTATTTGCTTTTAAAATGTTATGACATTTTGTGTACTAGAATTTTTATTATGTAATGGTTTTTTAAGATTAAAAATAATGAATTGGAATAAGAAAATAACTATTAGAAAATTCTATGAGAATAAGTAGATGAATTTGTAATTTAAAATTTTTTTTTTACAAAAAGTGTTAAAAATAAGTTTTTTTTATTTATTTTTGGCCCAAATAAATAAGGATTACAAAATAAGGATTAAAAATAATGAATTGGAATAAGAAAATAAGGATTACAATTTAAAGCAAAAAAAACAAAAACAAAAACAAAAAAACAAAAAAAACAAATTTTAAGGAAAAAAACCAAAAAAAACAAAAGCTTTTGAATTTACTTTTGGCCCAAATAAATTTCAACTTTAAGGATTACAAAATAAGGATTAAAAATAATAAATTGGAATAAGAAAATAAGGATTACAATTTAAAGCAAAATAAAAAATAAAAACAAATATTAAGGAAAAAAAACCAAAAAAAACAAAAGCTTTTTGAATTTATTTTTGGCCCAAATAATTTTTTTTTTCGATAAATAGTGCCTAAACAATATATATTTTTTATTTAATGAATTTTATTTTATTTTTTTCCAAAAAAAAAGCTCTAAATAACCTATTTTTACGTTTTTTTTTTTTAAAAAAATCTGCTTGGCGTACTGTTACAACACCTGCCACAAAAAGACAAAAACAAAGCAACAAAACGGCGCTGTTTTGGAAACATTAAAAACAAAAAAAAAAAATTTACCCCAATCGCGAGCCTACTTGCTGATTACCACAAGCCGGCCTGCGATCACTACTGGGCTTCATTTGTTTTTAGCTAATCCGCTGGAGGGCCAACAGTGCAAATGTTAGTTGGATTTGGGCTTTAAAGAGCCCCGCTGCAGATGCTCTTAGTTCTTTAAAGGTCTATTCAATTGTAATTATGCAGTCTATTTTAAGAAAGAACTAAGAACCGCTCAATTGTCTTGCATTTTGAAAAACCATACATAAATTTCATCCATTGTCATTGTTTATATTTGTTTCCACAAAAAGGAAAAACAAAATACCGACTTCTCAAATTTCTGTCTTCCGTATATATAATAAAATAAAATAAAAGCTCCAGCACTCATCCTCATGATACTCTCTCCCAATTCGTTATGCATGCGGATTCCTCTGTGCACCAAACTGGGCATATAACTACAAAAAAGAGCACTACAAGAATCATTGTTCAATAAATTAAACTTCTCAGTTTCAAATCTCTTTATTTATTTAGTGTGGATACTCTTGAGAACTTATGCTTTTCACTTGATCAACATTTACAACTCTGAATGTGAACTCTTCCCCTTCTTCAAATACAAGCTGCTTGAATTGAAAAGCATGAACATGTTAAGAATAAGATGCTTGATTGCCCCCTTTATTTTCCTGTGTATTTTTTGTTTGCCCTTTATTTATGTTCTTCTCAGCATCAAGTGCAAGCTCTGCTAAAACTGCTCCTTTTGCTACTCTGCTTTCTCAGTTGCATCTTTGTCAACAAGATAGTCCAATTGCGCCTGGAAGGGAGAGTGAGCAACTCTGACAACGTCAAATTAAATCCACATAAGTTGGAGAATATTACAGAAAACAGTGGATCTCAAACAACACAAACCCGAATGAATGTAGTCAAAAGGGGCAACATGAGCAACCGATAGTCATGAGCAGATATACTCGGGCGAGTTTAACTTCCAGCTGCTTCATATCAGCAATGTCCCCATGATCTTTGCATCAATTTTACTAAGCTACAAGACTGAACATGATGAGACCAGGATGGAAGAATCCAGGTTTCAGGAATCGCTGATGAGGAAATCTTGAGATTTTAGAAGTTTAATGAGAAAACGACCATGAATTATTTAAAGAAGTTCAAATAAAAAGTTCAAAATCACTTTAATACTGGCAAAAGCAAAGCAATTTCAAACAGCAAAGGAGCATGTCCTGATAATATCTAACTGATGATACCTTCGTGGAGGCTTTATGTTATTACTTTGGTTGGTATTTTATGTCACTTGTACACAAAAAAGGAGAAAGAAGATGTTCTAAATTATGTTGAATTCAGGCGTGGCAGTGTTTCCGAGTGGTTAAAAAAGCAGGCCTAAAGTGCTTTCACTCTATTTATCCTAGGTTCAAATTTTCCCACCCCAACTAACTAGTAACCGTTGCAGGGCTTAAAACAAAAAAAAAAATGGGATAGCTCTTGTATCTTTAATTGAACCGGTCAAAATGAAGAGACAAAGGCATACCACCCCTAAAATGCTAAATATCACGAATTAGATGGCCAATGGCTTGCCTAATGATTTGGCAATTTGTGTATTGTGAAGGCAATTTTCTTGAGAGAATATAAGATATCATAGAGAAAAAAAATAGAAAATGTAATTACCATTGAATAGGAAAGGTAATATTCAATAATTACTTAGGAAAGGTAATATCATTATAGAGTTCAAATCCCAAATAATTCAATTACATGAACCTTTCACTTTTATATTTTGTTTTCCTAGTTTTCTTTTAAATGTAATATCATTATAGAGTTCAAATCCCAAATAATTCAATTACATGAACCTTTCACTTTTATATTTTGTTTTCCTAGTTTTCTTTTAAATGTTCATCCTTATAGAATTTAAATCTATACATAATTTACGACCCCCACCATACAACACGTGAGATACAAGTTACAACACCATAACTTTTACACATAGAAAAATGGCTATTAAGGGGTCGCTTACTTTAGATATACTACGAGCTCTCCTTTGTTCAGTGCCATACTCATTCTTGAACCATGGCATGCACCATAAAAATCTTTTCATAACATCATCAAGATATTTGTTATGAAGAGATTAAAAACTCTTTAACATCATCAATTAAAAACTCTTTAAATTTTTATAAATTAATATATCTTAATACAGTCTTCTAAGATCCAAAATTATGAAATTTTCATATATTATTTTTGATAAATCCTAAAACTAAATACCGGTTCCATCCGGTAGAGTAAATGAATAGCACAATTTGCATAAGGTAAAATTTTGTAATTTTACATATATGGAAACTAAAGCCGTATATATGGTATACACATCACAAATACATCGTCTCCCTGAGAAATTATTGGTTACAACGGTTGTGCCATGTCATTCGTGCAAGCAACCAATACAAATACTCCTTTAAAGTAAATGTAGGACCATTTGCTTTCACAGAGTGTTTGTATTGGTTGCTTGCACGAATGACATGGCACAACTATTAGAAAGAAGCTATGCGAGCATAACCCAATAGCCAAAACTGGGATAGTTTGGGCTTTATATTAGGGAATTTAACAATGAAAGCTATTTTAGCCCTACATTTACTTTAAAGGAGTATTTGTATTGGTTGCTTGCACGAATGACATGGCACAACTATTAGAAAGAAGCTATGCGAGCACAACCCAATAGCCAAAACTGGGATAGTTTGGGCTTTATATTGGGGAATTTAACAATGAAAGCTATTTTAGCCCTACTTATTTTTCTTTTTTGGCAACAACATTATCATCACATAAGAGTCTCCTTGAGGATCAGAAGGCTCTCTTGGAAAAAAAAAAAAAAAATTTAAATTCTCCAATTTCTCATTTCATTCATATTTTAGTAATTCTTTCTAGCGTAAACGAGAGAGTGATCTAAGTAAGCTCGCCATCATTTGGGCAGCGGGATCATCACTTGGGGTTCCATTGTCATATTTGTGGGTCTAGCAAAATAGCTCAGCATCTGAAGGGGCTCTGCCAGTTTTTTTCAATATTCAAATGTGTGTAATTTCTAACAGTATACAAATAAGAAATGTAATTTCTACAATTCCATGAAGTAAACAATCCATGAATGGTGTGTGTGTTGTGGAGCTGATACACGTACTCTTAAGGGAGAGAGAGAAAAAAAAAAAAAAATTTGTCAAGATGCTAACCAACTCAGCCACTTGTGCATAGCTCCTTGTTCCAGTGATATGAGACTTGGACTCCACAAAAGTTAAGCAATGCCAGATATTTAGTAAACTAAAAAACATATCAATTGGCTTCAAAAGTAAGGAAAAAAAAAAAAATGGCTTCAAAAGTAAAGAAATGTTAGAACATTGAGTTTCTTACCTTCCCCTCCTTGGAGCTAAAAATTTTATTTTCAGCAGATACTCCCAATCCTCCTCATTAACGCAAGGTGGTGGGTGCGACAATCGTTCCTCATCAGTGTCCCAAATAGTATATTAAGCACTATGCTACAACGGCTTTACCTCACAGTTAAATTATTTTTCGAGGTCAGAGAACTCATAATTTGACAGAATTTGGCATAAGTGGCACAAGACCTTGACTAAAACTTCATTTATCATGAGAATTACAGAAACCAGTTTACCATATACTCATTCTAATGTTCTATGTAATTCGAGTAAACCCTGGAGAAGGCTTAGCGTTATTTTTGTCAGTCTTTGACAAAAGCATTAGGTTAAATCAGTCTTAAACAATAAAAGTTATAATGTTTTCCAATTTGAGAGAGCTGATTACTTTATTATCTTCTGAATTCAAAAAAAATAGTGGATGCAACAGTATACGGTAGAGTGTTTTCAAAAATTGAGTGGAGATATTTTTTAAATTTTAACAAAATATATAGACAGTAATACAAATAAATAAAAAAAATCCAGGCCTATGCTAGGTCCGTAGCTGGCTAGGTAACTTCTGGTCGGCATCTCTTTTACCACATAAGTTAAAAAGGAAAATTCTATAAGATTGTTATTAGACCAATTATGCTCTATAAATCGGAGTGTTGCGGTTTTAAAAAGAGACATGAACAATGACTTCAGGTAGCGGAATTGAGAATGCTGAGATAAATGGTTGAAGAGACTAGAAGAGCTACGGTCTCAAATGAAAGTGTAAGAGAAAATTTGGGTGTAACACCCATCCATAGTTGTTAAAGGCTCAAGGCGCACTAAGGCGCCAAAGGCCTTCTAGAGCCTAAGCGCAAG